TACTAAAGTCCAAGTAAATTATATTGACAGCATTCCTCTGGTCCACTAATTTTGTCACTTTGTCAAAGAATGCAATAAGATTAGTCTGGCATGATCTGTTTTTGACAAACCCATGATGGCTTTTGGTTATTACTTGGTTTGCTTCTACGTGTTCGGTGATTTGTTATTTGATTATCTTTTCCAGAATCTTCCCAGGCTGATAGGTCTTGTTCTGTCCCCGTCCCCCCACACACACACAAACAGCCAGCTGGGGGTTAAAGAAGTACTCGGCACATACAAGGTTCGTTATCAGGAACTTGGCAGCAATACAATAACCGTCTGCCAAGTGCTTTACTACAAGAAGAGGGAGTGTTCCTCCACCAGATAACACCAACGAATACACACAGTTTTCAAAACAGTCCAGCTCAAACATGAAACCTTCAGCAGATTAGGCGTTGTACAAAGTGACTAGCCAGAAGTTAGCTTTGTCCGTCACAGAGTCTAAATGGCCACCACACTCTCTTATATAGCCTGTCGGGTGTGGTCCAGTGACTCAGCTTAATCCCTGGCACGCCTCCTCATCTGCTGCAAACGTTTATCTCGCCTTCGTTGGCGTGGATCCAGGAACAACTTATCACCCTCATCGCTGTCATCGGAGACACCTGGCTCCTGGTCAATCTCCTCTCCCTCGGCAGACACCTGAGGCATTGTCAGAGAGGAGGGACCTGGAGAGGGAGGCCTGGCCGGCTCCTCTCCTTCATGTTCGGAGCCTTCTTCCTCCGATAAGATGGGCTCGGGGGTCGGAGCCACAACAGGTCTGTACTTTCCTGGATCTATTTTTTTTCCTTTTTTGAAGATGGGAACTACATCAGCTCTTTTCCAATCCTCTGGCAATCATCAGAGGCTTTTTTTTTTTTTACTTTTAAAAGCATTTTTTCACCCAAAGAAAAAAATGCTTTTAAAAGTAAAAAAAAAAGCCTCTGATGATTGTGCGGCTCAGCTGGGCATGGGAGTTGGGCAGGGATTTTTGCTACCAGTTCTCTGAACCACCCATCGCTACCGGATCAGGCGATCCGGTCCGAACTGGGAGCATTTCACCACTGAGTGAGGCCCACAGTAAACACTTTGAAGTTGAAACTGTGAGGGTTTGAGGCTGTAACAATGGAGTTGGGTAGAGCATTCCAGGCACTGACCACTCTGTTGCTGAAATCGTATTTCCTGTAATCGAGTTTGAAGCAGTTTACCTTGAGTTTGTATTGATTGTTTGCCCATGTACTATTGTGGTTAAAACTGAAGAAGTCGTTGACAGGCAAGACGTTGTAGCAGATAATTTTGTGTACTATGCTTAAATTGGACCGCAATTCCAGATTCTCCAAGCCCAAAATTTTAAGCCTGGTGGCATAGGGAATTCTATTGTGAGTAGAGGAGTGGAGTAGTCTTCTCGTGAAATATCTCTGAACCTGCTCAATCATGTTAATGTCCGAAATACAGTGTGGGTTCCAGGCGGATGAGCTGTATTCAAGAATTGGTCTGGCAAAGGTTTTATATGCCTTAGTTAATAATATAATATTACCGGAGAAGAAACTTCACAAAATTAGGTTAACAACTCTTAGTGCCTTTCTGGCAATGCTGTTACAGTTAGCTCTGGGGCTTAGATCGTTTGAGATGAGTATTCCTAAATCCTTGACAGAGTGAGGGTCGTCTACAAGATCGTTTCCGCCCAACTTGTATTTGGTGTTCTGATTTTTATTGCCAATGTGTAGGACAGAACATTTTAAAAAAAATATTTTTTATTGAATTTATAAGTTTTAAAAAACAAAGTAAAGAAAAATACAACAAAAAACAAAAACACATTAAAAACACATAACAAACATAACATCATATATTATTTTACATCTTACTGTATCGACATGGATATATATTCTCTATTCTTATTCAATCGTTCATCTACGTACTTATATTTACATTAGTATCTATTTACAAAACCATCATTATCCGGTTAACACCATTCAGTAATTTACACTTCCTAGTTTTAACCCGATTAAATTAACATTCCAAATTATTATTTTGATTTCTTTTTTCTCACCATTATATAGTTTGTTTCATACTCTATAATATTCCAACTCTTTCCTCTCTTTAATTTCCAGCATCAACTTATCCATTTCTGCACATTGTAGAATTTTTCGAATTACTGTTTTCCCTCCTGGTACTTTGTTTCCATCCATGTGATGGTAATCCTTGCTGCCGTTAATATATGGAGTATTAGATATTGTAAAGATTTGTCTATTTTTGGATTAATTATTCCTAATAAAGAGTTCTGGTTTAAATTCTATTTTTAATTGGGTAATTTCCTCCATCCAACTTTTAATTTTATGCAAAAAAAATTTTATCTTGGGACACATCCACCACATATGGTAGTATGTGTCTAATTTGTAACCACATCTCCAACAATTAGGTGATAGATTTGGGAACATTTTGGCCAATCTCGCTGGTGCCAAGTGCCATCTATGGAACGTTGTATACATTTTTTTATAGGCTACTGCCATTGTTAATTTATAGTTTCTATCCCACAATTTGTCTCACTTTTCTAATTCTATATTGTGCCCGAGGTAGATCGATGATGTAAAGCAGAAAGAATGTGGGTCCTAAAACACTGCCTTGGGGGACTCTGCTGTTAACTGATGCCAGATTTGATATTTTGACCATTTGTTGCCTGTTTGACAAGAACGCGGCTATCCATTTGTGCAGGGATCCGAAGATGCCATGAGAACTTAATTGTCGTGCACCACTGAATCAAAAGCTTTAGAAAAATCTATGTAAATTGCGTCAACTGCTTTACCTTGGTCAAGATGTGTGGTCCAAATGTTTCTGCAGTGTAGGAGTTGCAGATTGCAGGACAATTTTTTTCTGAAACCAAACTGCTTGTTGGAAAGCAGGTTGTTTATTTCTAAGTGAAGGGTAATGGATTGATTTATAATTGATCCCATGACTTTACAGGTGATGCAAGTGAGATCGTCTGTAATTTTCTACTAAACTAGGGCCTCCCTTTTTAGATTAATTTTATAATTTTAGATTATAACCCATACTATGTCCAACAGTTTGGCCACTATCTCTGCTATCTAAGAGTGATGGGAACTGTGGTTCAACACAAAAGAATACATTATGGAAGGCTATCCTAATTGCTTAAGGCAGAGTTTAACATTACACACAAACAAAATACTGGTATTTGGCCCTTCTTTAGTGACAATTGAGACCAGCAGCTCCATCGCTAAGCAAAATAGTTGCTAAGAGGTAATCCTGTAACTGCAACTATGCTTTTCTTTCCCTACTCCCGTATCTTTTGGAGTGCTCACCCAGCAGCACTAGGATAGCCAGCCTGAAACTAACAAAACTACTCAGTTTCACACCTTTGGCTTTTGTTTGCCTTCTAACCATTCCAACCTAAGGAATGCTCACCTTGGTGCTGAGATAATTAAAAATGGAATTGTTATTTGTATTTACATTCATTGGAAAGAAAGAAATTACAAGAGGGTAACTAGACACCCAATGGGGAATACACATTGAAAGCAATGTACTGGTGCCAGCACCTCAGAGCACACTATGCAAACAACCCAGCATATTTCCCATTGTGCTTGATTACTCTTTTGTAATCCCTTCCTCTCTAATTTTTCGGGGGGGGGGGGGGGGAGGTAATAGAAGCAATTTTTGTAGACAATTTCTTCTGTGTCTGATCCTCCCCAGAAGAACAGAAAGATTGGAAAGAGATTACAAGATGCAGACTGACACACAATGGTGACACACCATGCTGTTTGCAAAGCATGTTTCGACTCTGGTGCCATTACATTACTTTCAATATCTTTCCCCATTGTGTACCTGCTTACTTTCCTGTAATTCCTTCCTTTCCAATCTCTCTGCTCTGCAAGGAAGGGAACAACAGGTCAGGCACTGGACAGTCAGTCCCATGCTGACTGTAATGTGATTAGGGATTGAGGGACACTGCGAATATCTTAAATTTGGTCATTGTTCATATTTTCTCAGCACTGTCATTATTTTGATTCCTAAATGAGGCTGGTAATTTCAAAAAGGTGGCCTGTTCTTTTTTCTTTTCTTTTGAGTCTCGGAGCTGTATACTTACAATTTTGGCCAGTGAACATTTTTTTTTTCATTTCTTATGAATTTTCATTCTATTTACACAGTAATTATTTTTACTTTCATCAACACCCATTGTTGTCATATGGCAACAATTGAATCTTTGGGTGGCCATGCCAAACAGAGTGTGCCACTACTGCTTTTCGCTGTTTTCTCCTGTTTCCTCTGAAATCTTTTCAATTTTGGTGCCTCCTTCCCCAAAACAGTCAAAACCCTTGGGTTGGTGCCTTAATCTGCCTTAGCTTTAGCTCCAACCCAAGACATCACTAGCTTCCTAACACAAAGTATTGCCACTTTTCCCTGTCAGCATTAATTGTGCCTTTAAAAACAGCCTATTTGAGGAGCAAATATCTAGGAAATGAAGCTCTGCCAACCCTGCAGGCCAGCATTAGGGTTTCATCTGCCAAATTATCAGTCCAGTAAACTGTGGGATTTACTTAATTTTTGCCTTTCCTACCAGAATCCCAGAAAAGGGAGTAAGTAGTTGTAGGTAAACCTTTCGCCTCCAACAGCAAGCAGTCTCTCCTTAGCAGCTGAAATAAAGCAAAGGTCAAGTATGCCCACTGAAAGCTTTTAGAGGCACTTAACTGAAAAACAATCAGGGAAAACTGGTTCTTGCAGCGTCTCCCCCCCCCCTCCCCAGACCTTGAGCTAGTCCCACTAGGCCCCACGGGCTTCCTTCTCCCTCTGCGATCAAAATGGACGTCGCCTTATTTACGGCCATTTCCCCGGCTCTCTTTCCACCCTTTCACAGCAGCGCCCGAGCCGCCCTTCCGCCCCCACGCCCAACACTAACGACGGCGCGCGTGCCGCAAAGTGACCTTCCCCAGCTGTGCACGCGCTTCTCCTCCTCCTCCCCCGCCCCTACGTTTTTGTTTTTTTTTAATGTTTCTCCTCCTTCCCCACCCCCCATGATCCCGTCCTCCGGCTACTGCGGCTGCGCAAAGAGCTTGCGGTCCTTTCGACCTCTACAGCCGTACTTCGCTTAGGCGGAAAGCCGCCCGGCGCCGCTGCTGCCGCTACCATCCCGTGAGTGATCCGGAGGGAGAGAAGAGGGGGGGGGAGTCCGCGGATCCGTCTCCATCGGGGGCGCTATCGTCCCCAGCGCGCCGTGGAAGCGCTCTCTCCCGGCTCCTAAAGTTCTCTTTTCTTCTCCTTCCCCCTAGCGAGCTACCAGGACCCCGGATCCTTAGGAGCTGCAGAGCTCCCGTGGCCCCCCTGCTCTCCCAGCAGCGCAGCGTTTAGCAGCAACCATGTTCGCGTGCATCAAGCTCGCCGCCGGCTCCCCCGCATTGGTGAGTTGCAGCAGGGCGAGGCTTAAGCCTTGCAGCCTGCGTGGCTCCCCTTGGGTCGTTGCCCTTCGGATGTCGCCTCCGAGAAACGGGGACGCCTTGAGAGGGTTTTTGCGGGCGAGGATCGGAGAGAGAGAGAGGGAGGCAAGGGCGGGTTAGAGGCCCAGCCGTCGCTTTTGCCCCTTTTAACCTCCCCGCCGCCATGCATGCACCCCGGCACCTCTTGCGGGGAACGCATCCGAGCCCGTTCGGCCGTGCGGGGATAAATCCCGCCTTGCGAGATCCCCGAAACTGATTTTGGAAGGAGGCCGACGTGGAAATCCGCGTGACCTTAAGAGGCCCAAGGACACCAAGCAGGCCGAGGCGGCCGGGCCCGGTTTGCTTCCCATTCATTCATTCATTAGGCCTTCCCTGAAATTTGACAGGCCGCTTGTCGGAAGTGAATTTGGGGTTTAAGGAGGGGCTATTATGGGAAATCGGGGGTGAAAACCTGCATGGGGAGAGAAAACGTGTGTGTGTGTGTGTGCAACGATGAGGCTGTTTTAAAATAATCGGAATTTCTCTGCTTGGATCCAAGTGTGACAGAGCTCTGGAGAGAGGAGAACCGGGGCTGTCTTTTATGCAAATGGTTTTAGGATTGGGTAATCCGAAGAACGTTTGAAGGTCATCACGTGTAGTAGTAATCTTGTAGTAGTCTTTTCCTAAGGAAGGTTTCTCCAATTTGGGTGCCTTTTCGATGGATTGGTTAACCCGTTTCTTTTATTCTCAGCCAGTAGTGGGTGACAATGCAGGGGATAGATTATTTGTAATCCAACACACCTCAAGGGCGCCATATGGGGAAGGCTGTTCGGATTGAATTTTAAAACAGTAGGAGGCAGTCATTGCCATACAGAAATACTGGATTTTGGTGTTTTTCAAACCTGATCAACTATAAAAGCCTAAAAACACACAACTGCTTTGACATTTTAGAGAAGGCGTTAGAAGCCAAGATGAACGAAACCCTTCAAGGAAGGTACAGAGCATTCTGGCACAGGGAACAAACATTTTTGTGGGGTTCATTTATGTACTTATCTAGGCAGAAGTGGTCTGAGAGGAGAGAATGGGAAAAAGACAAGCACCTGAACAAGTAAGGAAAGGAAGACACAAAGGTCATTGCAAGGGTTTAAGGCGGGAGACACTAGCTGTGTTCTACTTGCTCTGTTAGACATGCAATTTGTTTCAGCCAAAACCTAGAATAACCAAAGTATTCTGGGATTTAGTCTGCTTGAAATTCTGGTAGAGCTTTTGAAGCATGAAGCATATTTTGACACACAGCCCAAATTGTTTCTCATTCTGTTCTGACTAAAATACTTCTATATTTTTCCCAAGGGTGATTTATTTGTTTAAAAGAGATAAGTTATGCTGAAAGACATTTCAACAGGCAATTTAGACATCTCACACACTGGAGAGAAGTCAGTGTTGATATATCTTCACAGACAAACAGTAGTTCAGGTTGCTGACCTTGGTTGAAAAAAGTTGAGTGGAGTCCAACAGGTTTAGTATGTGGATGGGAGACCAATAGGAAATCATAGGGATGAGGTGTCATCTAGAAAGAGAAGTTAAATGTTTGTTAAAATGTAAATTACTTTTCTGTTGCTAAGAAAATTATACGAACATTCCCATATAATTTTGTGTGTGTATAAAACATTAAGATAAAAACTATCACAAACTAATATAAAGAAGAAAAGAAAAAGGTCAAAAAAAAAAATGCAAGAAGAGGAATTGTAGTAGAAAACGTTATAAAAATGGCTTCTACTATTCTTCATAGAAGTCATAAATACAAATATATTTTAATCTCTCCATAAAATTACATCATATTGTATAAGCCAATCTGTATCAAAACCATAAATCACAAGTTCATTTTTTTCATTTTTACACAAAAAGTTGGTAAGTAGCTTCCAATTAGCAACAAATTTAGATATCTTTTATAAAATAAATAAATTTGTTCATTTCAGCAAAATCTCTCAACTTCCAGTAACAATTCCTCCATAGTGGATTAAGTTGAATCTATCTCTGTATATGTAATAATCTCACCACAGTAATTGTATATTTAAATAACCTTCCATGGTTTTTCCCTAATTTTATTCAATAATCCTAAAAATAAAAATTCTGGCTACAGCTGAATATTAATCTTTGAAATCCTCAAAGTATAAATCCATATTTTTTTAGCTTGTAGGTCCAGCAAAGTATGAAGAAAAATGTCCTGAAATGTTCACATTTTCAACATACATTTGAAATTCCTCTAAACATTCGATAAATTTTCTCTGGTCTCATGTATCAATGATAACATTATTTTATAAAAAATTCTTTGAGATCATAACATAATGTAAATCTCAATCCTTTTCACCATATATTTTCCCATTCATCCATCTGTATATTATAAACAGGACATTTCCATGTAATCAACAATTGTACTTTATGGACAGAGTGGCAATATTTTCTTGAATAAAACCCTTTTTTAATATATTTATTGTAACATACCTTTTGGCAATCAACTCCTTTTTCAGCAATTAAAACATGTTAGAATTAGTTAAAGGTTAAATATGTTACAATATTTGGTGCCAGAATGAGTTTTTCCTTATAGATGAGGTGGCTATTCTGAAATCCCAAATAGAATTAATTCCAAAAGTTTTTGGAGTCTAAAATCGTTGAGATTTGTTATGATGCTTGATTATGTTAATCTTCTCTGATGTTTAGATGCGTACTGGATCAAGGATCCTATACAGACCAATTTCTGCATCGATGTTGTCTAGGCCGGAAGTCAGGACTGGAGAGGTACCTTAAACAATTCTGTAGCTTCCTAAATTATCTGGTGAGCCCATGTGTTCTTGTGCTAGTAATCATAATTCACAGTAAAGTACCAAGCTGTAAATTTGACCTTGCCTTTACAGGCCACCTTCTCTGCCCACCTCCCAGTTTCTTCCCTTAAATAGTACATTTTACTTGCTTCGAGCAAGTTAGTTTCATTAATGAACATGGAATAGAATATAAACTAAGCAGCACTAACCAATTTATGTTTTATGTTAAGGTTGGTACTGTCTTTCTTTCTTAATAGCCCCGCTATTCTCCATGTCACTACTATTCTGAGCAAGATTCTTTAAACTTTATGGATGCTTTCTGGTTGCTCAGCATTGTATCTGTTTCTAAAACTGCACATTGAGTAGCAGAATCTGGTTTATTGGTTCCCAGTATCAAAAGGGAAAATAGAAGACAAATGCTGAAATACAGCATTCTCTTACTAGTTGTCCATTCTAGATACCTTGCTATCAATATACTAATCTGGGCAGAAATAATTAATGGTCATCAGAGGTGTGATGGTGACTATTTTTAATAATACTGATTTTACTTTAGGGCTTTTGGGCTAAATCCAGAAAGAGTAAAAACACTTCCTAAATTAGATTACCTCAAAAAAAATGTTGCTGCCTTTCTTCTAGAATGCTTTTTTAAAATTTTATAATACAAATATTGGGCTACTACACTGAAATTAATCCTTGGAGTTTTCTCTTTGGTTTTTTTTTTGTAGGGCAATACTACTTTCCTTACAGGTTCTCATAATGCTGGCAATCAACTAGCACTAAGGGAGTTCCAAACTAGTGCTCTCAACAGGGACATTGACACCGCTGCCAAATTTATTGGTGCAGGTGCAGCCACAGTAGGAGTGGCTGGTTCTGGTGCTGGTATTGGAACTGTCTTTGGGAGTCTAATCATTGGTTATGCCAGGTAACCTACCTTTTATCTGATATTCAAGTATCTCTGGGATATATGTCGGGGAGCAATGGCGAATGATGAAATGTGTGATGAAGTGTCCCATACATACTCTTCCCCTTTGTAGTTGGACTGCAGCTTCACAAATGTATGAGGAGCTAAGCTTGCACCCCTACATCTTAATACACACTTTGTCAATTTGATGAAATCATGGCTTGCTGTGGAAGCTACTATTTTACATAAACCTGCATGCAGAAATGGAAGATACAGGTAGTCCTCAACATAGAACAGTTCATTTAGTGACCGTTTGAAGTTAGCAATAGTACTGAAAGCAACAGTTTTTTACAGTTATGACCTTTGCAGCATCCCTCTAAAGTAAAAGAACTGAAAGAAAAGTCTACACCAAGAACAAGGAAAGCTTGTAACGAAGAACATGATATCTCAGCTAAGACTCAAATTTAAGTGTTTAAATTGTAATGTATTTGACTGAAAAAGAGTGATCTTTAAAATTCAGAAAAAGCTCCATACTTTCATACAGAGTAAGGGTTACGTTAATTATCTGTAGGAAAAGTCAGTATTCATAGCATACTAATGTAAACTACAATGGAAGATAAAATGGATACTTAACAAACGTACATTTTCTTAAACCTCAATTATACTTCCATATAGAAAGTTGCAAAGTTAGAATTCAATTAACTTTGAAAAAAATCAGTTTGCAATTATTTAGAGACTGAAAATTCCCATATAATTGATTAATTTGTCATCCATGTCCCTTCTTTTTACTTGCCGGTAGATCCAATAATCACTAAAATAAGTTGATTCTCCCTTTCCCATAAAAACATATGAAGGAATAACTTCTCCTAAATGCCAACCAAACGTCGTTCATGTTTAAAAACTATTGTGATAACTTTGGTATGATTTAGAAAATAAAGCAGTAAATTAACCATAAAACCCATGTCAGAGGATTTTGAAATAATGAGAAATAGTCCTTATTAACTGATCATAATTGTGACTAGCAACTCCAACATTAAGCAACACCATCATAAAGTGAAATGTCATATGACCATGCTGGCATTATATGGCATATGACATCAGTTCCAGCTGCCATTGTTAAGCAGATCACCATTACTACATTATCACATAATAGATTATTAGATTACGATGTTACTTGCAACTTCCTGCTGACTTCCCCCTTGACTTTGCATGTCAGAAGCTGACTGTGAAGATCAAATGGTGATCATGTGACTGCAGGAACTGCAACCATTGTAAATGCACTAAGTACCCAAATCATGATCATATCACCATAGGAATGTTGTGATGGCCACAATTTTAAGGACCGGTCACAAGTCATCTTTTTTAACATCATGGTAATTTGGACCATGGTCACTGAACAAGTGGTCAGAAAGTTAGCGCTACCATAATATTCAGTAACTGGAGAAATAGAGGACTCCATCTTCTTTCCAGCTAAAAATAAGTTTTTCACCATAAGATTTATGGGCCTCACGGATATTAACTGGCTGCTTGAGAAAAAGCAGCTGTGCCAAGCCCAAAAACCAAGTGGCATATGGTGATTGTTTCACATATATAGACAAACCTTATCCGACTGAAAACTCTACTATCTGCATCTACAATATACTCTGAACTATTAGCAAGGGGCTATCTTCGTCCTCTTCCTCTCATGCAAAATATTTGGATTGAGTTTCCTCTTACTCTTCTAGAATATACACCCTCCTTCCTACTATATTACATCACATCCAGTTACAGAATCAATGTCATAATCCTTTCAGCAAGTCAAGGGTGCTTTTGAAGTCATGTGTTGATAGCCAACCTTTAAAACATACATTGCTGAAAAGTATAATACCAAACTGGATCTTCAGGACCAGGATAAATATATTCTTAGTATTTTAATTCCATAATCTCAAACAATGTGCCAATATTCAGAGATGTTGGAAGGTATCAGGTTGCCTATCCCTCCCTAGCTGAAGAGTGTGAAATTAGTGTCATTATGAGACTGACTCTTACACTTAAGAATAGAAAGCAATCTCTTAAAAACGGCTGATTTCACTAAACTAGGATTAGGATTCTTTTCATCATAATATGTAGATTTTGAGAAACTGATTTCTTAATCAGAAATATAAGCATTAAAAGAAATTCCCAAGTTTTCCAATTTCCTGAACTATGTAACGCAGTGGCTCACCACGTCCAGTTGAGCTAAGATCTCAAATTGACTGATGTGTCTGGAAATACAGGTGGCTGTAATTGCATGTGGAGGGGTAGCCATACCCTACAGCAAGCTAATCCCACCATCTGTTTTTAAGGTGTGAATGGGTTTAATGGTAATCAGCTGTACTAGAAAGTGTGAGCTATCTCCTTCAAGAGTAGGCAGCAATCAAAAGCTACACTTAGGGCTGCCAATGGTGCTAATTTCCAGACGTATGACATCAGAAGACTCTTGAAGGCTGGAAAAAGAGTTTCAATGTTGTAGGCCCGTGATGGCAAACCTATGGCACGTGTGCCCAAAGTGGCATGCGGGGCCATGTTGCCTGGTGTGTACGGCATTGCCCGTTCCTGTTTTGGGTTTTTGGTGCACATGCGTGCGCGACAATCAGCTGGCCTTTTTGCATGTGGCAGTGCCAGAAACAAAGAGCTGGTCTTCCATTTTCCTGTGTCAGCATGCGCACCGGCCAGCTGATAGTCGTGTGCACATGCGTGCCAGAAACACGGAAGAGTAGCTGGAACCAGAAGTTCAGTATCTGAAACCGAAAGTTCATTTTTGGGGGTGGGGGTGGGGGGCATGCGTCCTGGACAGCTCCACTTCCTGTTTGCGGCCCAGACGTGTGCACGCTCCCTTTTTGGCACTCAGTGCCGAAAAGATTCACCATCACTGTTATAGGCTATATTGTTACCCAGATTTGTGTTGGTTAGCACATGCATGTGTCACCCCCTCGTTAAATGAACTGCATCTTTTTTATTAGCTTTAAGGTGTCATTAGCATTGGCTATGTGATCACCCCACAACCATCCTCTCATTGGCCTGCCAGAGCCCCACCTGTGTTATATCCTACTTAGCTGATCAGCTAATAGGCAAGGAACAGATTGCTATTTCTTCCATTACTTTTCTAAGAACTCAAAATGAAAATTAAATGAAATACCCTCCTTTGTGGCCATCCCTAACAATGTGAGAGACAGGTGTTGAAATACATTGTTGATCTTCCTAATACTCATGATTACCTACAAGGTCTCTAAAGATCAGAAGGGGCATATGTCCTAAAAGGATGCCTACTCTGTAAAATTAAAATTGCTTTCTACTATTTGTACAAATGTAACTTTTATCTTGTATTTCTGTTTAGGAATCCTTCTCTGAAACAGCAGCTATTCTCCTATGCTATTCTGGGATTTGCCCTGTCCGAAGCCATGGGTCTCTTCTGTCTCATGGTTGCATTCTTAATTCTGTTTGCCATGTGAAGAGATTTGTTTCCAGTGTTGGCACTAATGAACTACAATGTGATTCTGTGAACGTGAGCTTGGAAAATGTTTATCATGGAAATGTATGCTACTTCCAAAGCAGCTTAATTAAAGATGGTAACAAGTTTAAACTTACCATGGTTTGTTCTTTAATTACCTGACTTTTTCAAAGCCTATTGAGAGACCAGAGGTTGACATTTATCTTTTGGGAGCTCATGCCAAGAAAATTGGTATTAAAGCTCAGCGGAATAATATTGTGAATGTGATCTGTTCAGATTATGTATATGACTTTGCTTTATCTTACATGGGCATAAATTATATCCACAGTTGGAAATAATGCCCTTTGGCGAATGGCTGTCAGCTGTGTGGGTAGCACCAGTAGCATCATCATCATTTGGGGGAGGATTAATTAAATCTGTATGACACTTTAAAGAAATACAAAAATGGACCACTGGGAATTCGTATTCATATGGAAATTGCTTTTCAGATTATAAATGAATCTACCAGAAATATTTAATAAAGGGTGTAACCTAACACATGTCTTTTATACAACATTTGGTAGATTTATCATGGCTCTTGAATAATGAAATAGAAAATCAGAGTTATTTAAAGGAGAACATACTGAAGTAAAAAAATCAGCTCATATATTACTTACAAGCCAGACAAATGCATACTTGCAACAAACAAAATATCTCATATTCAAAATAAAGTATCAATATAATGCCAAGAATGGAGAATTGCCAAGCAAATCCAATTGCATATGTGTTAAAACAAAACAAATGAAAGAAATTTTAAATGGGAAAGTCGGGAGGATCATGCATGCAAATTACATTTGTGCATGCTCAAAAAGCTTCTTGAAGTTGGATTAGTCAACACAGATGTAAACATGAAGGACTACTATTTTAGGAAATGGAAACCATTTTATTTTTTATTTTTTTCAATCTTGTCATCCAAAACCCTTTTCCTGGCAGAATATTGATCAGGTCCCAGTTCAGCAACTGCCCCTTCTATCAGGTAGAAGCAGTGAGCAGTTTGTGCGCTATTGCTGATCATGGTTTAAAAGGCACATTTTATGGCTGCCAGGTGAGTTTTAGAATGACATGTCCTGTGGTTTCAACTGCTCTTTTTTGATCTTATTTCCTTAGATGTTGATATATGGCAGACAATTCTCATTTCGCATAACATGCTGGGTTAGAATGCTTGAACATTACTGAAAACCACAACTGGAATGTGGCTGGGATTTATGCAGTTGGATAAGTTGTCTGCATTCTTTTTACCTGTAACTGATTTTACAATTGGGGAAAAAAAGCAAAAAGCAAGAATTGATTATGACGAGGCTAATAAAATTAAATTGGTAGAAGACTTGCATCAAGTTTGCATAATCTACAAAATGAGCGTCAATATTTAAGACTCATGTTATATCACAAGCATTAATTTAGCTTTCCTCAAAGCAGTAAAAGTAGCCCTTGGATATTGTCCACTCGGTGTCTGCTCAAGTGTATAAATTACTGAAGAAGGATGGCTTACAACTGATCCTTGGAGTCCTAGCCACTGTAGCATCCTCAGTCACACAATCATAATTTCCAATATTCCTTGCTGCCTTCTCTCAAAATCAATGGGGAAGCTGGCAAGAAGATGGAAATCACGCTCATGTGAAGTCCCAAGTCCTTGCTTAATACAATTGTTTAATGATAACTAGGACTGCCACAATTGCCATAACCAGGTCTGCCATCTGCATTCGTGATGGCATGCTTTATGATTGTGTCATTTAACAACGGCAATTACTGTTCCAAGTACCATTGTTAATTACCTGTATTCTGGAACTGCTGGATTTCTAACATCCATAATTCCTATCAGAGAAAGAGGAGTATACAAGGTGGTCCTTGACTTAAAACAGTTCATTTAATGACTTCAAAATTACATAAATGAAAAAATAACTTACGTCCATTTTTCACACTTGCGACCATTGCAGCATCCTCTATAGCTATGTGATCAAAATTTGAAAGCTCAGCAACTGACTCATGATGGTTGCAGTGTTCCAGCATCATGTGATTGCCTTTTGCGACCTGACAAGCAAAGTCAATGGGGAAGCAAGATTCACTTAGCAATCACATTACTAACTTAACTTCAATGGTTTACCGGTATTTAATGGCAAGAAATATCAAAAAGGGGCCAAATTTACTGTCTCGCTTAGCAACAGTAATCTTGGGCTCAATTGTCATAAGTCGAGATTGCCTGTATATATTTATTCAGAAGTTACAATTGTATTGCTTTCCACTTTAGGTAAATATGCAGAAATTACAGGCTCAACATACCCTTTCCTGTGTAATAATTGATTTAACAGTTGAACCTCCATGTGCAGAAATCCATTTTATCCTAAATACATAGTTATCTGTATGTATATACGTGTGTGTGAGAGTGTGTACACACACACACACACATATATATATATATATACACACATATACACAAACACAGTGGCCATGTTTTCTTGGTAAAAAGCCTGAACCTGAAAGGGGCAAATCTAAAAGGTTCATAAAGATAATATTTTTAATTATTTATAATTTTTGCTTTAGAAAAAAAAAATCAGGAGGAAAATCAAGAAAAACTTTACAAAACCAATATAATAAAGGACTGCCCTGTGGAATAAAGGACATCTGGCTGCCGAGACTATCAACGTGCAGTGATTTTTGCGTCTAGCTAACACGCCTCCATGCACTTCAAATCCAACAGTCCTGCCCCTCCCTTCCAGCACTTGGGAACACCCAGGCTCCCCTGGAAAGGACAGCTTCCTCTTCTGCGCGCAGGCGCGAAAAGGAGGAGCGCAGGAAGGAAGGAAGGACGGACGGACGGGGCTGCTTCCGGCCACCCAGGCACCGGCGGAATGGCACAGGCCCCGCCTTCGCGGAGCCCACAACCACGCGGCCTCTCCCTCCTGCGGTTGTGCGTGCCTCCTTCCTCTTCCGTTCCGTTTGTGCTGCACCTGGCACCCCCCCTCCCGTCTCCGCGCGCGGGGCACGTGACCCCGTTTCCTCCTGACCCAGCCACCCTCCCCAGAGAGGGGAGGTGGGGGAGGGGAGAAAGGAAAGGAAGGCAACGCGAAAGAGAGAGAGAGGGAGAGAGAAACCGATATGTCCCGGAGTTCCCGCGAGATGTGACGAGAACCGGGTGGGAGGGGGGGGAGAAAAAAAAAACCCGGGCTTTAATGTGCGGCTCGGCCGGCGGTCGTGAGGGGTGAGTTGGCTGTGTGTGTGCGCGCGTGTGTGTCTGTATGCGCGCGCGGCGGTGTGGTTTTGTTTTAATGGAGGCGGAGAGGAAGGCCGTGCCTCGCCTTGACGTTGTAGGTTAGGATAACGGCTCGGGGTGTGGCTGTAGCCCCAGCCGGGGGTAGGCTGAGGGAGAAGAGCCGGGGCCCTGGTGGTGGCTGAGGAGAAGGGATCCTGGGGAAGTATAACATGGCGCCGCCGCTCCGTGGCTTTTTTTCCCCCCTCCTTCGACTCGTCCTTCGCTCCCGGCTGCCGGTTTTGGCCGCCCCGGACGCCAGCCTGGCTTCTCCTATCGTTCCCGGTTGGCCTTGGCCCGGACGCCTCCGTCTCCTCCCGTTTTTCCAGGAATCCTGGAGGAAGAAAGGAGGCTGGAGCCACGGAGGGCCCGGGCCTCCTCCTCCTCCTCCTCCTCTGATATCATTGGGAGTGCAGATATATTGATAATACATGCATACATATATATATAACCGGACCTTCCCTCCCCGCGGTCCCTGATGGAGAAGGCCAAAAAAGCGTTGGCTTTTGATGGCCAAGTGTCGCTTTTGACGAGCACTGGGCACCTATCTTCTCCTATCACCCTGTTTCCTGCAAGGAAAGAGATCTAGGCAGCTGAAATCGAGAATAAAATAGCTCTCGGCCCAGAAGGCTTTTCCTTTTTTCAGTTATTAAAAGGAGGTGTGAGAGTTAAGTGTAGCAGAGGCTGCTGGTGTTTTATTGTTGTCACTGTTATTCCTTATTGTAGGACAGATAGTCTATCTAATCAACGCTTTTTCATTTGACTCCAATGGTGGCAGGAACATAACTTTTTCCTTCTGACATTGTCTTCACCTGATCTCCACCCTATACCTGCAGCTAGTGTTAATTGTCCTTGGCCATTTTAGTTCTTAAACACTTTTTTGCTCTCTTCTGCTGACATAATTGTGGTTAATAGGACCTGGCACGTTTCATTGGCTATTTGATTACCATTACAATTAGGCAGTGACCATTTTGATTTGGGGTGTAGAAAATATTGGACCTTCAACAAAGGTTATCTGCCCAAATATTTGTTTTGTAAAATGCATTTTCAGATCTTGCACCCAGGCTTTTTTACATTCAAGTTTTAGCACTTTTTTTAAGTTACACAAGTGCTAATCCTGTGTTCTAAACATAAGTTTAGGATTCTTTTGAGAGACCAGTAATCCTATGCTGCACAGAGGGTTGGTTTTAACAGGGAAAGTGAACAGTGTTTTGCCAACTATAGGTGGTTGGCTCAGTCACTGTTGGGTGTATTACATGTTCCTGCTGGGTTTAAGCAGTGACCTCCCCCATCCCCATTACTACTTTTATTTTGGAGGATTCACAGATAAAAATACTGGTCCTGATTATTAGATTATTAGGAAGGTACAACTGGTGCAGAATGCAGCAGTTTGCTCTGTAATGATTGAGACTTGCCACAATTCAGACAGCCTAACTGGAGTAATTTACGATTCTAAAAGCTGTTTGTACTAACTCCACCTTGATTGTCTTTGGAAACTAGAGTAGCCACCAATCTGATTTCCGTGGGGAAGTGCTTACCATTTATTATTAGAACAATTGTCAGGTAGCTAAATCTATCATGCTAAGCATCTTAATCATGATGGAGTCAAGTGTCCTACAAATCCAATAAATCTGTCTAGATGTCTTCCTCTCCACAGTAAGAAGAATTTTTTTCCTGCTTGGAGTTGATGCTGTGTCGGAGAAGAAACAAATCCGGAGGAGTTTACCAATCACATTTTTAAACTTGACCTTTAATAACTAAGTTTATATAGCACCATTCTAAAGCCTTGTTACAGTATGAGATTAAGGATCAGCAATCAGGGCAGCACAATTTATGTGACATGCTTTTCTGCT